CATGTCCACAGATCATCTCTCAGAAGGCAGCTCCTTGGATGGGCTATGCAACCTGAAAAATCTCCAGAGCCCCCAGCAACTGACAGATTCTACAGCTCCCAAGAGGTAGGACAGTAAGAAGGCAAGCCCAAGCTAGCAGAGGTCACATTTGTCCTCAAGTCAGCAACAGCTGTCCTGCCCCCTTGTTTCTGTGGAGAAGAATTGGGGTTGCAGGGATGTTGAACTTGAAATCCCTACCCTTGCCATATGTGTCAGGTTAAGGAGATTTTTCTGCCTCTTTAGATTCTGCCTGTGATGCCTTAGGTTTTAGCTTTTATATTTTTCAGATTCTGTACTGCTTTAGTGTGTAGTTCTGAGCTTCATATAAAGTGTTGGTAGGCTTTCTTCATAGAGTAGCTAGACAAAACAATTCCTTCTCTAGCTGGGGACCAAGGACAAATGATCCAAATTTTAGCTCAAGAGCATAGACAATGTGGATTGAAGAGAGAAAAACAAGAAGGATGGGACTTCGTAACATAAAGCTATAATTGGACAATTAATTCCAATAAGCTAATGGAGCAGAAAGTGTGAGACCCCATGGCTGGTCATCCATTTCTTGACCCTTTTCAGTTCATTTTGGGCATAGCCCTGGCTGGGCTCTTGTGCTGCCCAAGGTGTATCCATTGAGGCTTTCTAATAAATGCCTACTTTATTCTTTAGCTCCATCTAGCCTCTGTTCTAGGTCAGCCTTCACAAGGCATCACCTGTATGTCTGTATGTCTGCCCGGTTGTCCCAGCTCCTCAGCTACCCATATACCTAGGAATTCATTTGGTGTTAACTCACACCAGAGATCAATCATTGGCCCACAGAGGCAAGGGAAGCTGAAGTGCTCATGGATTCCATTGGATTAGCACTGCCTCTTGCAATCATTCTGCGCTCAATGCACCTAACAGCAATGTGAAGGGAGTAGGTTGAAGTGGGACCAAGCAGAATGCTTTGATGCAGGTGTGGTGTTCAGTGGGTGACCAGAGGTTTCAGGTGTGAGGGGTTTTGACAAAGATGGGGAATATAGCTGGGAAGCACTTCTGGGGAGCAGGCCCTGGGCTCAGTGTTATTGTTGTGCTAGCTGGGAAGTGAGGTGGGACATTGTACGGCATTGTCAGGAAGGCGGCCAGCAGATTCCTCAGTGATGGGGTAGCACTGAATGACCTCAGAGCACAAATGGTCTGTGCAGCTGGTGGACTCCTCTGAGCACCCTGCCTGTGCCAAGGAGAGCTCAGGGCCCCAGCTCTCCTGGGAGGCAGCCCACACCTTGTAGTATCCTGCAGATTGGCTTGCCTGCCGGCCTGCTGAGGCTAGGGGGGAGGAAAGTGTTGGCAGCTCATAGAATTATTGACAGAAGAAGCAGAAGGGAAATGGGGAAAGTCAAAGAGTCATTTCCCAGTGTCAGACACAGAACTGGATCTGAAAAAGCTAAGCAAAATTTAGTGCTGGAAATCAAGGGGTCATGACTACTCTGAAAAGCTGCTATCACAGATGTCCTGAGTAAATGCTCATGGACAGTTTAAAAATATAGAGACAATCTGAACATTGCCATAGACTACAATATTAAAAGCAGTGTCATTTTAGTCCCATTAGGTAAAGGAGCCTGACATTCATCTTTCAGCAACTTTCTCTCACATATACCCCTGCTGATAAGCCTCCACACCTTCAGAGTGCTCTGTTGGGTTCAAATTACACCAAATCTTCTTCCCCCTCGATGCTTTTGGAGCCTCTGATAATATAGAATAGGAACTAAAGAGCTGTGTGGGGCTGGGTAACCCTGAAACAGGTACAGACCTCACCCAGCTGCTGTGGAAATCATCAAAGTCATTAGCCAGGGACATTGTGATAAAGGGTTCACACTAAAGCAAACACTTGGGAAACTGAGTGTCCTGCTGAAAGTGTACTGGGAGAGCTAGTTCCCTCCAGGGTTCTTTGGGTACTTGCTGGAAGATGGTGGATTTCTCTTTGGAGAGGCAGTATTCCTTTGCAACCATACATCATCTGACTACAGAGCACTCTCTATTAGGAGATCAGATCCTTTAGAGCTGTGTATGCCTGTACTTGAAGAACTGCTGCTGTTCTGATGTGAGTGAAAAAGCCTGCTATGTGTATGCTCAGGATGAGCAATAAGAGAAGGGAAAGAAGGGTGAAAAGGAGAGCCCTTCTTGACTATGTCCCTTTACTGCAGTTACTTCAGTCCAGCAGTTGCCACTGCTGTGACTTTGTGTCACTAGCTGCCATGTCTGGCTCTTGGAAATGTTCATGCTCAATTATTTTCCTGTGTACTGCCTATTCTGAGCCAGACATGCAGGAGACAGGGTATTCATCATGCTAAACCAGCCATAATTCAGAGGAGGAAAAGGACGTATTTTCATACAGTATTTGTTACATATCATAGGCCATCTCCAATGCTTATATGTGTCACTGTAATGGGTTGACCCTGGCTAGATGTCAGACACCCACCAAAACTCCTCTATCACTCCCTCTCCACTGCTGGACAGGGGAGAGAAAATATAATTAAGGGTTCATGGGTTGAAACAAGCACCAGGAGAGATCACTCACCAATACTGTCACAGGCAAAACATGCTTGAATGAGAGATATTGAGTTTATTGCTAACAAAATCAGAGCAGGATCATGAGACTTCAAAAACCACCTTCCCCACAACCCCCTATCCTTCCTAGCTCTACCTCCTCCACAGCCTGGGACCAAACTTTTCAAGACACTAAGGCAGTTTTGGTTACATCATATTTCTGTATTCTGTCAGTGTTGACTTTGACCAACATCTTGTTTGCCAGCTGGACAAAATGTGTGATAGCAGTGTGGGTGAGAGAGGTGTAGGTGTTAAATTATGGAGGACCTAAAATGCACTAGTGTTGACTTCATTCTTAGTGCAGCAGCTCTAGGGCCTCCAACAGCTGTCCTGTGCCCAGTACTCAGGGAGTGGAGGTCAGGGATTCTCAAACATGCATGTGATATACAGTACGTGACATATTCCCTGTTAATGAAGAATGCAGGACAGGCCCTGCAGATGAATTGCAGATCAGAAGCAAGCCCTCAGTGAAATTGCTACTTGTCGGTGCACTCCAGGTAAGGCTGTGGAAGAGGTCTCTTCTCTAAACCAAACCCCTCAGCAGGTGCCCATCTCTATAGGAATGGATAAAATATGGATTCTGTCTCTCAAAAAATAAACTGGAAAATAAGGAAGACTGCTGTATTTTGTTCCTATATCTGGAAGCATGTTTAAGATAGTGATTGGAGAGAAGGAGAGAGGGACTACGGGAGTCAGGGAACCTGGGCTGCTTTCCCAGCGCTGGATTGTTGCTGTAAATTATAGCAAGTCCCCAGGGACATTTTTCAATTCTGACTTGTCTCTCAAGTAGAGGCAACAGTCTCACACTTTCTTCCAGAAGACTAGATTATGCAGGGTCCCTGTTCCTGGAGAGCAGTGGTTACACTATCCCATTTATCCCAGTGCTGAGTTCTTGGATATTGGATAGGTTTCTTTGGTACACTCATATCATTCCCAGCTGTAATATTCCTTCCTGCAGGGACTTTGCACATTGAAGGCTATTCCAAATCACACCTTTCAGAATGTGTGTGAAGGCACAGGCTTGAATGGCAAAAGACCTTTAGGTCATCAGCAAAACAATCTCACTCCCCACCTCTTATCCAGAAGCACAGGGACAGCTGTGAGCCTGACTGTGCTACTCCTCTTGCCCTCTGATTTGCGCCACCTCTGAGTGGTAGCAGACTGGCTCTTCACAGGCCTGTGCCAGCAGTCCAGCGCATCTCACCTTGTTAACTCTCTGTGAGGGCAAAGCCCTGAGTGCCAAGCCCTTGGCACGATTATTCTCCCTTCTGAGATCAGATGAGAAGCTTCAGTCCTGTGCTGCAGACCCAGAGTATTTATGTTCATGGGAGCTGCTCTTCTCTCTCCTCTTAGACTGTCTTTCACCTCTCCTAGCCTTCCTCCCAGTTCTCTGACCCCAGGGAGTGCCAAGGCTCATCACTACAAATGCCCACCATGGCTCTGGCTCTAGGGAACAGAGAGGCCAGTGCTGTGGCACACCCATGTCACAGCTGCATGCACTGCTGCTTCAGATACACAAACTGATCCACTTTCTTAAGAAGAAAAAAAAAATCAGTGTTTAAGAGCCAAGATCCAGGGCCTGCATGGTGTTCATGCACCCAGGAGCTGTTTTCATCTCCATGCTGAAATGGAAGAAGGAAGACCGTGGCACAGGAGTATGCTCTGGGGGAGGTACTGAAAATAAGTAAAATGTTCACAAGCCATCATAGTTATCATTAATAATTTCAGCTTCACCACAATGCTCTGCAGTACTAGTGTGTGTGAGGACCTTGACCCACTGGGCCCCAGTAGGGGTCCTCGAGCTAGCCATGGTTTGTACCTGGTCATCTGGTCTCTGATGCTCACTGGCACGGGCACCTTGGTAGTCAAGGACAAGCACTGGCAGCCCATGGTCATTCTGATCCCTGCCAGCAGGAACGGACTCCTACTTGACACAGCCCTGGGCAAGGATATTGTTCCAGCCCAGTGAGCTGCTTTGCTCCTTCAGCAGTAACGAGAGCCCAAGCTGGAGCAAAGGACTGAACAAGATGGGTCTGCCAGTGGGTCCCTGGGGGTTTATAATGCTACGGCTAGCGCAGAAACAATCCCTCTCCGACTCCTGAAACACATCCCCCTCCATCAAGAGGGTAGAGGGATTGTCCTTCCCCCTTTCCCCCTCTTTTCTTCCCTCCCGGAGGTCACCTTCAGCAGGGAGGCAGTGTCCCCCAGGCCCAGAGCCATGGGGACGGGGCGGAGCGTCACGCTTGGCCCCGCAGCGCCTGGCAGCCCGCTCCGGCTGCTGGCGCAGGCTGAGCCCGGCGGCTGTGGCGAGGGGAGCGGGGCAGTCGCGTCGGGCTGCCTGTCCTGCGCTGCTGGACAAGGTGAGAGGCTTAGTGCAGGCGGAATGGATAGTGGAAAGGGAAGTTACAGCAGCGGCAGGATGAAAGACGCTGGACAGGCGTGTAAAAGCGCACCCACCCCTCTCAATCTGATTTTGGAGACTCGAGCGCGGTTTGCCGGCACAATGCGGAGCGCACCCGCTTTCCCCAGAGGGCTGATGGAGAGCTCGTTGGTGGCTTTGCTCTGAAAGGTCGCTTTGTGTCCACTCGTGTTCGGTGGGATGGTGCTGCGGTCCTGGGCGGTTGGTTGGGAGAAAGGTGTGATGTGGCTTGGTCCCAGTGAGATTGCTGCCGGTTTCTGTCCGAGGAGGCTGTGGTGCTCTGCGCGCTGTGGACAGGCTTACGGGGCTCTCCGGGGAGACTCTGGGTGTCGCTGCCCAGAGCAGCAGTACGCAGTTCTGCTACCGGCACAGTCTTGCTGTGAGATTAAGCACTAGCCTGCTGACCAGTTTTAGAAAGAAGCTCATAAATCTACCAGCAATTAGGCCACAAGCAAACGTTGTGATAGTCTGTTCTTATCCCTTGTTGTATTCAACATGGTTTACACCAGAGTGGACCTTTTACGAAAAAAAAAAGATGCCGTTCTTGAACCAAAAGTTATGAAGATGGAAGGATATTCTTCCATAATGTTTGATGAGATTTTTAGGGGCAAATATCCTTCTTCACAGAATCTGCACCACAGCGGAGGTCTGAAATGGCCTCACTTCATCTATTGGTTTTAGTATAATGCTTTTACCTAACTGGGAGAGCTCTTTTTAGTGAAGTTGTAGTACTCAGAAAGGTATATAGAGATGATAGAGTAACTTCTTCACTCTCTGTTTGACAAGCAATGAGGATAGCACCCCTGTAAGTTTCCCCTGGAAGTTTCAGCCCTCTTGCCACTGTCATGACTTTCCCTTGTCCTTTTTCTGTCAAACTGGGGACACCAGAGATAGCTTGCTGAACTGTGGGCTCATCGGTAAAATTGAAAAGATAGAAAACATCCAGTAACTGGTTCTGTTGATCTATCAGCCTCCAGAAGAGATCAGGAAATTTACCCAGGCTTTCTTCATATCAATATATTTTTAATATTTCAAGAAACATCATGAAGGGTAGATAAAGAAGAATACCAAGCCGAGCAAATGAAAAATAAATTTATTATTAAAAATACAAATTCCACTAGTGTGTGATATTCTCAATTGTAGTGCAGAAGCTGTTAACAGGTGGCCAGCTCTTCAGAAATACAGATTTCCTAACTCAGCTGATTTTTGGAGATTAAATTTCAGACTGTCTCATTGCATCTGTATGTAGAAACCTCTGCAGAAACTGGAGTTCACTGTAAGAGGCACATCGCCTCAGAACAGATCTCTTCTTTTGTTACAATCATCTCAGCCTATGTGAAACTGAACAGTCGAACAGTTGTCTCTAATTTTTTTTCTTGTTTGTTTTTTTTTTTTGTTTACAGTGAAGTTTACTTTCTTAACTTAGCATCTGGAAAATGTTAGTTTGCCTCTCACTGCCAATATTTTTTGCATCTGAATCTTTTCAGGCATTCTCTTTAGCAGACTGAATGCAAACATGAAATCTGTAACATCAGTAACCCTTGATCTTTTATGCTCTTAGTCTTGTATCTAAAACATTAAGATGTGTATCTATATCACTGTAGATTATTTCTACTGCAATTCTGTATCATCCAATGTCTTAAAGCCTGCAAAGGTAGTGAGGTTATACCAAATCTAAATTTCTGGATTTACATAGTGCCCATTAAGAAGCATGAAGAACCTTGATGTGTCTGATTAATATGACTTTTTTTTTCCCTGTCACCCATCCAATGCATCAAACTAACAATTTAGAGATTGGTGGGAGGTGCCTGCAGGTGCGGTTCTTACACAGCCCTTAAGCAGAAGTGTGGTAACAACTGGGTGAAGTGATCTGAATTACACTAAATACATTTAAGAAAAATGTGCTTTTCTAAACACGGTGCAAAAATATTGATGTAGAAACCAGTTAGGCAGCACTCATAAACGGACATGAAGAGGAAGTTAATTTCTTCCCCAACATTCCCCAATAATCTGGAAGAACTCTGGACTCATAATGGGTGTATAAGGTAGTACAGCCTGTGTGTCATTCCTGCAAAAAGAGATCTTGAGACCACAGCATGAGGCAGGGGGGAATTCTAGCTGAATGTGTAACAGGAGGCATCCCCCAAGACAATTGGGGTTTTAATGTGGGCGATGGGAGGAGAAAAATTATGAGACTTTAGAAAAGAGACATGACACAGATCTGAGAGCTGGAGAAGCAAGCTGGACAATCTGAGAGCTTGGTCTGGCAATTAGACAGAAGGTTATTTGGAGGCACTGAACCAATAAGAAGACTGAGAGGTATCTTGATCAGAGAGCATAGAGATGCTTATTCTCAATTCAAAATGTGACCAAATTTTGTGGCAGCATCAGATCCGTTTTTTAACTAACTGATGTAGGCACTACAGAAGCACAGTGTGACAGATACTTTGAGAAGCCTAAGTAAAGCATCAGTTAAATGTATAGCCTGAGCTTCAGTCTGATAGTTTTACACAACCTAATTACTTGAAAATATATTCTCATACCCTGTGGTCATACCTTTGACAACAGTGCATATAAACCCTGCAAGAGTCTGAAGAAATTTAACAGGTATTAGAGACCTCTTTTCAGCAGCAGGTTAGGTAAATTCAGATTAGGTTATCATACAAAAACCTAACAGTGAGAATGTTCACACCAGCATTTATAATTGACCAACTGTCTTTGGATCAAGCTTGAACGACTTTTTGAAAGAGATGCCCCAGATGCTATTTGTTATTTGGTTTGTGTTAAGGCCCTGTAGAAGGTCAGACAAGAAAGTGGACCCCACCTGCCATACGCTCAAGGCCATTTTTAATAGAGTATTTTTGATATGAGAAGAGGCTGAAACAGCTGAAACTCTTCAGCTTGAAAAAGAGAAGGCTCAGAGGGGATCTTATTGGTGTATACAAATATCTGAGGAGGGGTAATGAAGAAAAGGGAGACAGACTCCTCTAAACAGTGATCATTGATGGGAGTCTCCATCTATGGAGATATTGAAGACCTGGCTGAATACCTTCCTAGACAACCTGCTTCAGTTGCTGCATCTTGAGCAGGGGACTTGGATTAGATGATCTCAAGAGGTCCCTTCCAACCTAAACATCTCTGTGATTCTGTTATCATAGCACTATCTTTGTTATACAGAGATCACTGTTTTTGGCTTTTGACATGTATGAAGTGTTTTTCTGCACTAAATATATTAATAATTTTGGTTGAAGAACCAGAATAACATTAACTGGACTAAGACATTGTATCGCTATAGGTTAGATCCCCCCCAGCTTCTCAGGTGGTTCAGAAGTATCTTGTGATGGTGTAAAGACTGTGAGCTTTTTGCTGCTGTAATTAAAGATTCTTTTGTGGAATTACAGTTTCTCACAGTAACCAGCCTGGAAACAAGCAGGGATGAAGCATGGAAAGTATAGTGGAGGAAAGAACGGAATAGGAATAGGACTCTGCCTGCTGCCTTCAGTACTGCACAGCCAAATGGTGAATGTATCCTGGCCAGGGCCCTGGTGAACTCTTCTTCAATGCCTGTCACTCTGCAAAGGAAAAATGATACTTTAGATGGTATCACAAGTAGGTGCAGAGCACCCAGGCACACTCTAGACAGCAGTGACCCAAATTTGATCCTCACTTACCTTCCTAGCTAATCACAGTGGCATCTCAAAGAAGACCTGACAACGCCAGCTATTTTCTCAAGTATGGACTTTCTCTTGTAGTTAATGACCCCAGGGGCAGCAAAGGCCAAAGTCTGCAAACTGTTCTGGAGTGACTGCAGCTGGGGCTTCCTTCATAAGGAACCTTTATCAGACCCGCAGGTCACAGGCCCTCAAGAAACTCTACCCATATCCTCTGGATGATCTGTTCTTCCAAGCTGGCTCATTCACCTTGTTCCTGTACTCTTGCAGAAAAGTAGGGCACTTGGCACTTATTTGGCACTTCTGAATTGGACGAGATTTAGAAATGAAGTCTAGTAAAGAGGGAAGGGAAGGGGAACTTTCCCACAAATAGTCCCAGGCTCCTGTAGAAATCCAGCCTTGTTGTAGATTTCCTAGGTTTAAATAATTATTTTTTTCCAAATTTCTTTATTTTGAAGAATGACTGGATTTAGCAGCAGTGGGGTTCCTTTGCAGAAGAGTGATGTGGGCATACTGGAACAAATCCAGACTGTGAAGACAGTTAAGATATGGGAGTATCTCTCATAGGAGGAGAGACTAACAGAGCTGGGACTTTGTCAGCCTCAAGAAGAGAAGACTGGAGGGGATCATCTGATCGATGAATATGAATACCTGCAAAAACACACAACCACATGTATCACAGTATCAGATGATACTGAGTGACAGAACTAGAGGCAGTGAGCCTGAAACAGAATTTCTATTTAAGCATAAGTTAAAATCCTTTTTACCACAAAGGTGATTGAACACTGAAACAGGTTACCCCCAGCAGCTGTGGAGTCTCTATCCTTGTATTTAAAACTGGGCTGGGCACAGGACAATCTGCTCTAGTTAACCCTCCTCTGAGCAGGATGTTGCAGTAAGAGGTCTCCAGAAGTACCTTCTGGCATTTACCATCCTGTGACTCTAGTTCTGTGACCTTGCTCCAAGGCCAGGAAGAGCTCCCAGAGCCAAAGTGCCTCGTTCAGAGCACAGGGAGGTAGACAGGGAGAGAGTACTGCCACAGAGGTCTTAAAATGCTGCCTTGTGGCTGGCTAGGAAAAGTAAAAAAAACACTTCTCTGAAATGTGTCCGAAGCAGCTGGCTGTAGCTCAACATGCCATTGATGTCCTAGGTTACTTTCTGTATAGGTTAATTGGCTGCACAGATGCCTGACTTTTGGTCAGAAATGTCATCAGGCATGTGAGGTACTGAGCTCCCTTTGGCTTCCTCGGAGCACTCTGCCTTTTGTCACGTGCCTGTGCCTAAGGGACAGGTCTGTCTTGTCTGCTACCTCAAGGACTTTCTCAGTAAGCAACAGAGGTGGAATTCAGAGTAGAGAGATGAGGTCTTGCTGCAGTAGGCTAAGGAGAGCAAGGGGGGTGGCTGGGTCACATTTGGAGATCTTGAACTCTGCTAGTATTTTTCCTGTTGCCCAATGTTAGGCAAAAGGATTAGGGGGCTGGAGAAGGTTCCCTTCAATACAGAGACCTTTTCTACTATGAGGTGCTTTGCCCAGAGATGTGCTGCATAAAAGTGCAAATTCTATTCTAGCACAGCAGCAAGAGTGCTCAGACTCTAAGTGGCAGAAATATGCCTTGCCATGGCATGGTTTGTGTTGCATGTTTGATCTGGCTTTCTCTGTGTGTGCTGTGATGTTCCTGACTCTGGCTGTGGTGTTTCTGCCGCACTCAGCGATGGCCAAGAGCTCAGCTCTGACTGCAGCAGTGCCAGAGGGAGCAGCACCAACCAAGATAGAGGAGCTCCTGGAGATCACCGCTCAGAGCCTGGTGCGTGCTGAGGTGGCTGAGCACTATGAGGTTGTTCGGGAGCTGGGCAGGGGCAAGTATGGCCATGTGATGCTAGTGACCCACCGGCAGAGAGGTAAGGAACTGACCCAATGAACTACTGTGCCTTGTGTCCTCTCCAGTCACCAAGGCATGGGGCAGGGGGTGGGCTGGTGGCACGTTGGGGCCAGACACCAGGCATGGCAGGGAGGATCCCCAGGGACACCAGCAGGATGGGGACATCCCCAGCCAGGAACCATCCCATTACATCAGCCAGAGACCAGGTGATGCCAGGGGGCAGCCCAGAATATCTGGCAAGATTATAGTGATAAGACAGGTCCAAAGTCAAGCTGGGAAGTTAATCCACAAGTCAGGATCAAGAGAGTTCACAGATACACACAAACATGCATGTGATATAGATGGAAACAGCAATCTCGCCACAAGGCTCAGTCACAGAGCCCCAGGCCTGAGCTGAAGTGCTGCCCTATGGCCCATGAACAAAGGGTGTGAATGAAGGTCCTGGCTTGGCCATATGAATGCCCTGACACTGCTCTTCCCTAGTAGTCCCAGCTCAGACTGATGGGCCCAAGTATCCTGAATGTCTCTGCTCTGCCCAGGGCTCCTGTGCATGCCTAGGGCTCAAAATTCATGCCAGCAGCAGTGCCTGTTCGCAGACCTGGTGTCTACAGGGTATACCCACACAAACTTCGGGCTAGAGACCTCCCTGTGGCTGTGACTGCCTGGGTCTGTGGCTGCTCTGTCTTGCCTTGGTGTGACTTTCAGAGGAGTCAAACCCACTCTTCCCATCCCCAGGGACTCCTATGGCTCTCAAGCTGCTACCCAAAGCCAGTACCAAGCTGCATACCTTCCTGTATGAGTATTGTGTAGCACTGTCCCTCGCCACCCACCCTGCCATCGTCGGCATGTTCGGAATTGCCATTGAGTCCAGCCAGTACTATGGATTCCTCTATGAAGCGGCGCTGCACAAAGACCTCATCTCTATTATCAAACCCCGTGTGAGTGTTGCTATAAGGTCATGGGGACAGGGCTGTAGCATTTGGCCCCTCTGAAGGATGGCTGGGTCGGAGGGAGAGAGATAAAGGCAATGGGCTGTGGATCTATCTGGGTCTGCAGCACTGAAGTGGCCTGGCGCTTGCAAGGTGAGGAATACGAAGGTCTTTCCCAGCGCAGAGTACTGGGGTGAGAGCCCATCGGGCAGGGCTGCTGAGGTGCCCCATGTGTGCCATCCTGCCTGTCTCTCTCCCTGCACAGGATGGGATCCCCGAGCCGGCCGCCAAGCAGTGTGCCAAGCAGCTCGTGAGTGCGCTGGAGTTCATCCACAGCCGGGGGCTGGTGTACCGCGACATCAAGCCTGAGAACGTGCTGCTTTTTGATCCCGACTGCCGGCTCGTCAAACTCACTGACTTCGGCCTCACGAGGCCCAAGGGTACCAAGCTCAAGCTGGTGGCCGGGGTAATCCCCTACACTGCCCCTGAGCTGAGCAACACTGCTGATGCCCAGGGCGTGCCCATCGACACCAGTATGGATGCCTGGGCCTTTGGGGTGCTGCTTTTCTGCCTGCTGACCGGCTACTTTCCCTGGGAGCAGAGCCTGCCAGAGGACCCTTTCTTTGAGGACTTCATGCAGTGGCAGGAGACAGGCCTAGAAAAGGACGTGCCCCGGCACTGGAAGCGCCTGACAGCCGAGGCTGCCGGGATGCTGCGGAGCCTGCTGGCTCTGGATCCCACCAAGCGTGGCCCTGTCAGTGGGGTGCTGCGCTACGTCGGCTGCCCTTGGCGGCTGGAGGGTGGGCGCAGCGAGGAGGCTGCTGTGAAGTCCTAGAGCCTGCTCCCCATGGCAGGAGGGTCTCAGCCTGCAAGGGGCTTCAGGGTTTGGGCACCATGGCGGCCCAGAGAGCAACTTCTCTGCAGCACTGTCCCTGCAGCCACAGAGCCAAGCTCCGTCCCCAGCTGACTGCCCTCACCCCATGACTCAGTGCTGCCCAGTGCCCCTCCTTGTGGCTTGGAAACATCTTTCTCCTGAAAATGACTGTGTGTGAAGTATCCACTTGTTTCCTAGCCACAGGAAGTCCAGGGAGTTATTTAGGCTGCAGCACCTGCCATGCCTCAAAATAGAGTAAAATATGTACTTTTGTGTTTCTGTAAGTAGCTCGTTTTCCCTCATAATAAATGCCTGTTCGGACCTACTTGCTTTTGGAAGGCAGGGAGCATGTCAGAACTTGTAGCTATCTCAGGACAAGCTGTCCAAGGCAGGGGCCATCTCTGAATGCTGCCTGTGCCTGCACCAGGACGCCTGGAAGGTGGCTTCAGGCTGGTGGGGTGGAGGGGCTGGGAAGATCCCAGCATGTGGCCATGGATGATGGCTGGGGAGCATTCATGGTGTTGAGGTTATCTCACGCCAGCCCAAACACATCTCTGCCCTTGCACTGCCTTCAGGTCCTAAGACAATGTCCTTCATGCTCTTTTAGATGCCTGGTTACCTCTCTACAAGACCTTCTCTCTTCCCTTTCCTACCACTTCTTTAACCCTTCCTTAGACACACACACCTCCTAATGCCCTGATAGTCTCCTAGGTACACATTTTGATCCTGAAAAGGAGTAGCAAAATGGGAATTAAGGGTTAATAGCCCTTTTTTGCTTTTCTACCTCTTTTCAATCCCCAGGATTTTGCTGTTGGTAATAATCCCTTCCTGCACATAATCTGGTCTTTTGCTGGAATCATTCACAGCTCATTTTCCACTCTCAGGGGCTTCAAAACTTCTAAAAATGCAGTGTCCCAGCACTATACTTTCTAGCACTTCAGGGTTTTTTTCATGTTAAGCGCACGTTAAGACCCGCACACACTCTTTCTTCTCATGCTTCCCCAACCTCTAGCTTTTTTTTCCCCAGCTTCTTCTCATCTACTGGCATTTTAGCATTACTTAACTTCTCTACTGACACTATCCATCACCTGGTAAACACCTTTAACTCACTCCTCTCAGCAGCATCACCTCTGGACTACTATTTTGTGCTGTTCCTGCTCCCTACATCACTTATGCCTCAAGTCTTCCTTCCAACTCCCCATCCTAGCTTACCAAACAGCATTATGCTCACACTGTCCAAGATGCAGTTTTCTTCTGCTTACTTCCATCTCTTAGAATCTTTCGTTACTTGAAATCATAGTAAGTGCTGCTAAACTCCAGCCTGCTGAGATTTGGCTTTAATTACTCTTTAATTACTTTAGGAATATTAGAGGAATGTTAGGGTGCCAACATAGTTCCTGTATTTAAAGTAGAGAAGCCTTAAGACGAATGGATCTAAAGGCCAGTGAAAAATAATGGAAAATTTGTTACAGATGCTTGCTAATGGAGAATTACGGAATAGGAATGTGGCTTTTTGGAAAGAGACATTCAACTTTATAATAAAATCATGTTTGATACAGTAAATTCATAGTGTTATGGTACAGAGTTTTTGTAAGTCATGACCTCTCGATAAAAAGACAATAATGGTATTTTGTATTGATTCAGAAGATGCATTATGCAAAGTCCATAAAATATAGATTAAGTAGATTGAGAACTTTCAATAGGCAGAAAAGATTGGGAATGGTCTATTTTGTTTGGTTTCAGGAATCGGGAATCAGTTGTTAAATGAAAACTGGTTAACATTTCCAACCATGATTTTAAGCAAAGTACAAAACAGGTGAAACCCTACAGATGACACAGTCATAAATAGGGTGGTAGCAAGAGGAACAGGCTACTCAAAGAGATCTGGATAACTTGATAGGTTAAGTATATTCAAACAACATACATTTTCTTACAGGCAGGAGAAACATAATTAGGTAGGAACACATAAGAATAAAAGCCATTCTTACAAAAAGACCACCCCTAAAAACTTGCCAGGTCACAGAGGATACACAAGATTACATTGTTGTCTTGTTAAAAAAACAAATGGGCTCGTTGTATGGCTAAAGAGGGGTAGAGTGTAGGGATGGTCAAATCTTCAGCAAAAACAGCTAACAAGATTCCTGTTGGCCTAAATATGAGTGTGGGAAGTAGGAGTGAGCCATTAGTATTTGATACCTCATGGTGCCACAATTACAGGCAAGTTGGAAAACTGGAGATAGCTCAGGAAAAACCATGGTGGACTGTGGTTTAAGGCTGTAGGAATGCTTTAAAGAAACTAACAAGTAAAATTATCTAAAATAGGAAGACTGGATGGTGAATAGATTATGGTATAAAATACTGAGAAGAAAATACCACCTACTAATAACCTATTTTAATTTGAGAATGATCCAAGAGCAACCATGAGACATTGAAGCCAAACACTCCAGTTGTGAGGTTCTTGCCTACTGACAGAAACCATCATATGAGCAGAGGCTGAGAGAATGGGGAATGTTCAGCCTGGAAGGAGAAGAGTTGGGGTGGAGCTTATATCTCTTTATACTTCCAAGGCACAAGTATAAATTGAGATAAGGGAGGCATTTAAACAAAAGAAAAATGGCTTTATGGTGATTGTGGCCAAACTTTGTAACACTGTTTGTGTGTCTATGGCTTTGGAGATGTTCAAAAGATGATTGGATAAGGCTCTGGTACACTTTCAATATTTGTCTCTCTTTTGAAGGAGATTGGTGTAGGCAATCTTCATACATCCTGTCTGGTATCAACCATGCTGTGATTCCACAACATTTTTTATTTTGAAGACACTCTGTGTTGTAGCTAAGGGTGTTTAGGGCTCCCAAATGTCTCTCCTTTGGAATTGCTCAGCAAGGTTGTGGCAAAGCTGTGTGCCAAAAGCAAAAAAGGCTTGACAAGAAAAGGTTAGCCAGATTTTAGGATTTATTCCAAATTAACGTACATCTGAACTGATGGAAAACTGACACCTTTGGGGAGACAGATCAAGCTGCCCCATGCCATTAAGACCCGGGCTGGGTTTTTTTTGCAGGAGCCAATTATGCCAATAAGGATCAGGGATTCAGTGCTGCCTGACAAAAACAATGTGACAGGCTAATGGCAGTAAGAAGTGGCAATAACCAGGATTGTTTCTCTGTCCTTTTTTCACAGAGGCTTGGGACTTTGGTCGAAGGGGTTTCTGCTGCCAGAAAGCTGTGTGTCATGGTTTGACACTGGCACACAGAGAGACTCTGGGGGGAACGGAGACATCCCAGATTTTCTCCACCCTTCCATCTGCAGGGGGCCAGCCCGGTTCCAGCCCCTCCACCCTTGGGCCTACCTCCGAAGGCCACATGGCTTCTCCCCTCCCCCACCCAGCTCATGCCGGGCAGGGGAGAGTCCTGCACTGACCGCTGACTGGAACCCAAGAGAGCGAGTTCTCCTGGGAATTCTGCTTTTAACCCCTCTGTGTTCTCAGAGGCGTGTCCACCTTCAATTGGTCAATGTCCAAATTGACCTCTTCTTTCCGGAAAAATTCTTTTTCCGTGTCAAACTACGACACTGTGTGATGCATAGTGAAGTGATGAAATCAGCACTGTGGCTGTGAAATGCATGTGATGGTGGTAGGGACAGGGCTGCAATGAAACAAGCACAGATTTGAGCACAGCGGCAAAAAGCCCTGCCCTGAGCCGAGTCTCCAACTCAGGCTTCTTTTTTCAGTAGCTTGTTCATAATTGCAGCTGGATTTCTTAAATCACTGAATAAACAGATCTGGCAAGGACTATCCCCTGGGGGTCTGGAAAAGGATTTGGTTGCCCCAATCACCCCTGGAGCAGCTGTTGGGAGAGGCTGAATGGAACTAAGCTGTGTGCAAACACGCCGGCCCTTTGCATGGCAGCCTCTGGCTGCAGGAGGGCTGGCCATGTGCCCAGCGCTGTAAAGGGCAAACTTTCAGCTAATGTAGGCATGAGGGGTGGGGTGGATCTGGTGTCGTCCCCAAAGGGGCATCAGGTGGCTCTGAAGAGGAGGGAAAAACGCGGTACTTTGCTCTTCTCTGGGATGGAATGAGGAGATAAATCAGGTAATTACTGAGCTCACCACACTTTGTGAGTTCTGGCTGCAGGTCAGTCCAAGAAGTGTGAACCCAGGCCCCGGTGCCCTGATGCCTGCAGCATACTGCATGCATGGGCTGAGACCATGGATCCCATGGCTGTTCGTGGGATTCATGCTCTATATTTCTGGATACCCTTGTGCACCTCACTGTGGATTCTGTTTCCACTTCTGCACTGTACAGTCCACATGGCTCCTCAATAGTTACACTTAGCAGCAGCCCAGGGAATGTGGTGCAGATCAGAGACTGTAGGTGTAGGGAAAGTACGGGCTAGTACTGCAGGTGGAAGGGTGATGGGTTGAGCCTGGATGTGTTAAAGGAACAGATAGTTTGATTGTAACTCTTCTCCCAGTTAGAAGTGTTGCTAGGAAGATGTCAGAGTGAAGGCTGTTTGCCAGAGAGAGATGTGAAAATTCAGGCAGATTTGAAAGTGATGACCTAAGTTGTGATAATGGTTAAACAGTGTCCCAGATGACTCATATGAGATTTAAAATACTGAATGTTAAAGACAGCCTTTAGCCAAATTATTTGAGTTAACCTCAAGTCGGCAGTGTCCCCAGCACAGAGACTGTTTTGTTACACTGGCAGGGTAGAACCAAATTGCATAGTGGAGTCAATGTCGTCTCCTCTTTCTACAGGAAGAATACTGAAAGTCACTGTATTGGAAGCTAGAGCAATGAGTAAAGGCAGGATAGAGACCCAGCCTTCAAGGATTTAGCAGTTAGGGTTCGTTCTAGAGTAATTTCTTGAAGCTTGCATATAACTTTTCTTCTGCCTTGTCAACTTCAACACTATGTTATTTCCATCTCTTCCCACTTAAACCCCTTTAAGTATGATTACTGTGACTAAATCAGTTTCTTAGGAAGGGTGGCATTCTCCAGCATTCCCCAAACAAGACCACAATGCTGACCACCCTGTGTTACCTTTCCCACTCTGCATGCAAATATCAGGACTTGAGACTGCAAAAGGACTGAGCACCAGTTACCAAAAATGAGTAGAGGAAAGCATCTCAGGTTAGGTAATATGATAGGGCAGATGCAGGACTGCATGATGTCTGAGCCCAATTCTTCCCACACTGCTTGTTCTCAAGTTTTGACTGTCATTTCAAAGACAAAGCAGGCCTAAGCTTAGTTAAAAGCCATAAAATATGACCCAGTTCTGAGCAACTCTCCTTCTCAGCACAGGAATGGGAAGAAAAATTAACTAAGGAATAAAAATGGTGGATTTTTTTACCTTTTATTCTTACTCATGTAGGGGCATGTTGGTGACAATTGCAACCCAGCTGATGTCTTCTAGAGCTGCCTGTAGCTGAGAAGCGATAAGAAATCATAAAATACCATTGTCATGTCAAAGCATTGCAGGATTGAAAATGACTGGAGCACAAGATACCTAGTCCCTGACATGGAGTTTCAGCTTTTAGCCTTTTTTTTCTTCCATCCTGCATCTACGGGTGGAGATGCAGAAACCATAGGGAAATACCTTAGACAGGAAGACCAAAGAAACTTCCTCAGTTTTTCAGTTTTTCACATCCTGTAGTTTGCACAGTACCTTGCTACCCATACTTTAATTTTAGTTCCTCTTGTGCTGTACTGTGTTGCTGCTGACCACAAGAAGAGAAGTGACCATTACTAAATTCCCTAATGGCCACTATCAGCCAGCATCCTAGACTTCCCTACTTTGGGTGCACTGAGGTCTGACAGCTAGGCACACCAGCCAATAATCTGGGCTTGCCCATATACAGGTCTGCCTGTTGCTGTGGTGCATTTGTTTTCTTTCCCCTGGGCTGACAGGCAGCTGGGCATATTTATAAGCCCTGTGCCTTGGCTCAGCTTTGTGCAAGAGAGGGAGGAAAGGGGATTTGGCCTGGCCCAGGGTGGTGACAGAAGGCGGTCACGGCTGTCACACAGACTAATTGCACTTCTAACCCTCTTTGGTGTTTACAAGCTGCCCCCCACCAAGGACTCTTGTCTCTGGCTGGCACCTGTGTCTCAGGGTAGACTCACAAAAGGCTCCAGCTTCCCTGGTAGCCACCTTCTGTGTTCTAACTCAGAGTGCAACTTCCACCTGTACTTTGTTGACATATTTCTTAGGGGACAGCAGGAAAAATGACTCATGACTGAACAGATTTATTTGAGGTGCTCAGGAAAAAATTTATCTTAAGGGGTAAAAGACTAGTTTTTTTAAGTGTGTATCTGACATCTAGGTGTACAGAGCTGGCTTCAAGCAAAGTAGTCATGTTACCATGATTAGTGGTGGTGCAGATGTCTTCAAACCATTGCTTGAACAGTCCTGTGTCCTTGACCCCAGTGTTCCCCAGTGCCTGGCACAGCTGGTTGTCTTCCCTTCGACTGGCAGAGTAGGTGATGGAAGCAGAGCAAGGACTGAGACCTCCAGGCATTGGTTGACATTTGCTGAATCTGCTCTTTCCAAATCCAAGTAGAGAAAA